TTCGACACCAACCTTCACCCTCAGCACCTCTGCCTTGGTTCCTCAGATGGACAACTCCTCCGGTTGTAGTGTCCCCACACTTGTCGAAACTTTGAGCCTTTGTGCACCCAATTTCGGACTTCTTTGACAATGCTTCCTCACTTTCCTTCTTTTTCAATAGTTCCCTCGGCAACTCCGCGAGCATGTCCTTATCATCTTCAAGGACTTCCACTAACTGCAACCTTGACAGTTGTTGTGTTTCCATCTCCACAGGAACATTTTCAGCACTCATGGCATTAAACAACTGGAAGGAATTCATTCGAACTTCATCCTCATCTTGGCTATCTATGGCCTCCGGTTTGCTCTCCGAAATGGAAATAGATGCTAATGATGCCAACATAGGACAATCCTTCCTGAGATGTGGTCCTTTGCAAATAAAGCAACCTCGAGGTGTAAAATTACTCCTCTTCCTCTCATCATACTGCTTACTCCAAGTAGTTGGTTTGTCGCCAACGGGTTTGTAATCAACTTTGGGATTTTGCCTCCAATCTGGCTTGCTCCATTGCATAGCTCTCCCTGTATCTTCCTTGTTATCCCCAAAAGTTCCTTTGGCGGGTTTGATAGTTTGAGCTTCGGTCTCAAAACTTTCTTCAAACTCCGTCAAGGATTCGGCTACTGCAATTGCCTCATCAACGGTTTTGACATCACGACGTTGCAACTCTTGTCGTATCCATGTTGTACAACCGTCTAGAAAATAGAATAGCAACTTATCCTCCGGCATGGTTGGGATTTGAAGAATAAGGGTCGTGAACTCTTTGACATAGTCACGAATTGTTCCCATATGTTTCAATTCCCTCAATTTCTTGCGCGCCTCATAGACGACATTCTCCGGGTAGAATTGCCTCTTTATTTCCCTTTTGAACTCATCCCAAGTATCAATTGTACAAGTCCCCCTTGCAATTTCGCCATGCTTACGACGCCACCACAACGCCGCAATATCCGAGAGATACATAGAAGCGGTTCGAACTTTCATGGCTTCATCAACAATATTTACTCCTTCAAAGTAGACTTCCATTTGCCATAGGAAGTTTTCCACCTCTTTGGCCTCCCGTTGCCCATCATAATGTTTAGGCTTCGGGTATTCAATTCTCGGGGCAACAATAGTTGAAGCGGCACCTCCGCTTGTACCGGCAGTAGATTGCTTGTATTGATCAAGCTGGTTGCTCATCCTTTCCATCATCACAGCCAATTGATTAACTTGGCCATGCATGGTGGAAATGGCATCCATGACTTTGGTTTGGAGACGACCAAAATCATCCGTCACCGCGGCTTGTCCGGCTACCACAGCTCGAACATCACCTTTCATCGCTTGGACATCATCCCCCAACGATGCCTGTGTGTCCATCACCTCTTGGACATTAATTTGTAGAGTTTCTATCTTTCCAATGGCGTGTCCCTCCAACGCCTCGAAGGAGCTCTCAAGAGATTCGACCCGATCACCCATATTTGAGATGATTTGGTCAAGTTTCCTTTCCATGTTTGTTGTTTCCCTCACCTTACTTTTTCTTCGCGTTTTCCTTACTTCAGTTTGGGCAGCACCTCGACCCCTCTCCTCAATCTCAATATCAACAGTTTCTTGAGATTCCGCCATTTGAGCACCTCACCCAAATCTAGCTTCCAAGAATCTCCGACGAATCTGGCTACCACAGCCGCACTTGGTTACCACAACCAAACCTTCGCCTTAGACTGCCTCCGTAGTCCACACCACGTGAACCTTACACGGAGATCACCTCACCTCTGAGATGAAAACCTTGTTCAACTCCACGTGAACCTTGCTCTGATACCACTTGTCACGGGCCTAGTTTCGTTACACCCGAACAAACTAGAACCGTGCGGCCTTAACGTTCTACAATTCCCGCACCTCACGAGGAAACGTTAAGTCAGCCTTTCCACGCCCACAAATAATTTAACCAAGAAGGCTAAATTATACCCACGTTGAGAAGAGAATTTTGAAGTAAAGGATATATGAAAAACAAGTAAGGATTGGGGAAACTTTCTTTATATAAATGAAAGGAAAAACTTTACAATCTCTCTAATGAATAAACTCTCTTCACTCTTATATTCTCTACACTTTCTAACCTCTACTCCATCCCATTTACATATGAGACTACCTCTCTATTTATAGAAAAACTTTAACCTCCTTAACCTTCCACTTTACAACTTGCGCTTGGTTGTCGCCACCTCGTGCTTGGTTGTTGCCAACTCATTCTTAGTTGTCTTCAAGTGGATGGTATTACAACTTGCATTGCAAGTTGTCGCCAACTCGTGCCTAGCTTGCATACAACTCGCGCCTAGCTTGCATACAACTCGCGCCTAGCTTGCACCGTTGATATTTATCCTTGCCAACTCGTGCTTAGCTTGCATACAACTCGTGCTTAGCTTGCAAGTGGCCCACAAGTGGACAAGTTGTGCAAGTTGTCCACTTGCATCCTCAAAATATCAGGCTGCAGGTCCATGTATTTTTCCTCTCAAAATGGCTGGGTCGGGACTTACAAAAACCTCATTAATGCCCTGAAAAACTGCACGATCTAGGCAGCCTGCATTCTGCCCCAAAGTCATCTATGCATCCCCAGCCCGAATCTACCTGCGACCTTTACCAAATCTGCTTGCGTCCCCTATCGCAAGCTATTCCGTCCTTCAGAAACGCGTTACCCGCGCTATCTTGCGATCGCTACCGGGACGGATCGAACGCGACCGCGTTAAGTGTAAATCACTCCCCCACTGAATTTGGCGACGCACTCATCGCCATATATTGCCGAAGCATAGACCTTATTTGCCATAAGTCTATCTCATTTTCCCACCTTGTGCCATGACATTCCCGTGTCATGCCAAGTCTCAAGTCATGATCTTGCGATCCGTGACATACTGCTGGAGAACTGATTGGTGGGGGGGAGGGGGGTGAGGAGGGGGTTGACAGTGGAATTTGTGGGCTGAAGATTCTCTTACTTCCTTTTTTTTTAAATTTCCTTTTATTTAGGCTTTTTGCTTATTTGAACGTGAGGCAAAATTGTAATTTAGACAAACAATTTTCAATGGAAACCATGGAGAATGATGACACTGCTAGTTAAATGCCATGAACAGTAAAATAAACACTGCAAATGCTGGGAACTTGCATTCACAAATTCAAGTAGAAACTATTCGCCTTGTGAACTTTAGATCAAAGAGAAAAGGTAGGAATGAAGAATTTAATCAAAAAGAGCATTGATACATTGCTTAAAGGACTGTCTGTATGTAAAGAGGTTACAATAACATAGTAGCCTTGTTCCTATCAAATTTGGGGTCAGCTACTTGAATCATTTTTTTCCCTCGTTGCTTGGTCTACTGGAACATCTAATTTTTAAGAGAGATTTGAAGGCTTGTTGGAAGTAGACTAGGTGTTATTTGTCTTGAGCAAGTTTTTATCACTCATCTGATGCATATTAAGATGTGAAACTGGCAGACGACTCTTTACAAAGACAGTTAACCTTGTTCACTTCACTGTATAAAGGCTTCAATAACCTGGATCTTTGGTGCACTTGGAGTGATTAATGGATAGTGCCAGAGAAATAAGCACCTTGTGCTTACAGGGAAGCATAATATCCTATAAGAAGTAGAAATTTAAGTACATTGCAAGATGCTTTGTTATGTGATTAATAATATTTCCTAGCATGTCCTGAGATTGCATGACAGTATTTCAATGTGGATTGCAGTTTTATGTTTTCAGAATATGGTCCCAATTCTGCCCCATAGATCGTTTACACCTGTTCTTGGATAATTTCTGTTACATGTCCAATTTGGGCAGTGGGTTTCTTATTTTAATTTTATTTTCAAATATCTGTTCTTGGTTTATCTTGATTCAAAGCAGTACTTCGTTTTTTTACCAAGGTTCTATTTTGTATTCTTTTAGAATTTATCTCAAGGAAGGGGTGCCGATAGGAGATTAACCACTCCAGATGCTGAATCTCTATCCAACTTCGAAGCTCGAAATGTTCGGAGACCGTCTTCATCAACAGTCGCCGGAGGTTTACCTCCATTGGGAAGGTTCCTTGTTAATAGAGTACCTTTCAATTCTTCTGTTATTTATTCATTTTCAGTTAATAACTTTTAGTTCATGGATGCTCATCTTAGGCCGGTCCCAGCTTCCCAATCATTGGGTAAGTAGTAAAACTAACATCAACTATTTTTAATACCTGCTAAATTGATTTGGTAACATCTCATTTGTCTATCTTAGATCGAAGAGCTGGATCATCCATGTCTGGCTATAGGAAAGATGAATATAATTGGAGATACAAAAATAATGAGCTTCCAGATGACGTAGTCCGTGCTTCCTCTGCCTTAGAAAACCTTCAGCTGGATAGGAAAGCTCGAAGCCTAACCACTTCATGGCGGTTTGTTTCTGAACCCTTTGAATGAAAAAGTGTTGCATACTGATTTTTTTTTTGTAAAAATGATACACTGTTAAGAAAGTAACTTAAAACTTTGGGAAATCTCTAGCACATATGAACTGTTCTAAATTGTGGTCAATAGGGTTTAACCTGTGCACAGTTTGATTATGCATCATTATTCTAGAATTACAGAACTAAATTCAAATATGCTTTACTATGTGATCAGTGACTGAACTATAGTTTTTAGGGAATCAGTTTTGGTTGTTTATATTTTTCGAAAGGTGTGGAGCATAGGTGCATTATTATTTAATAATCTGAAGAAACAATCAAGAGTCCTGCTACTGTAGTAAAGGAAGAACCACTGCAGCAGGGGAAAAAAAGAAAGATTTACACTTCGCTTTCGTCTTCATGAGATCAACTATACTGGATAACAGGATCCCATAGTATTTATATAGGTAAAAGAATTTCTACGACAAGAACAAGAACTGCTACTCTAACTGGGAAACTTAAAAGTTGTGGAATCATTGACTAAGAAAGATTATTCTAGACTGACAATGATTCTTCCTAAGCAAGTAAATACGTGATCACAATCCAAACGAGATCAATGGACGATACCCATGTATTACAACTATTTTACTGAACTACGCGTGACTCTTGAAACATAGTAACATCACACAAATAAAATAATTGCAACAACTCTCTAAATCAAAGTGGTATCTATATCCCTTCTAAAACTTTTAAATTTGTTCCAAATAACTGATTGTAGCTTTTGATTTTTGGAATCATCAAGCGATAATAATGAAATAATGGTTCCAGGGAAGTGGCAAGTATGAAACGCTTTAGGGACTTCAGAGGAAGATGTTCTAGTAGTGTGGACAGAGGAGAAATAACTAGTCAAGCTCCCAATAAACTAGGTGTTTGCTGCATGAAACTTTTGCACTACTGTGTTCGATTGTCACATCTACTAAAAGGTTCAAATAAACCAAATTGTTTGCAACTACGTCAGGGCATTATAAAGTTTAATACCTATGATGCACTGATACGGACACATGTGTCAGACACGTACGTAAACTTGTGATTTTTCAAAAAAGTACCTACACGACACGTCATCGATACGTTTATTAAATTCTTTAAAATTCTTCATTTATAGAGTATAAATTTATTTTTATACTTATTATTGATTTTTCTTGTTAAAATATTTTAAATATGAGTACTTATTTGTTATTTGCTAATAATTTTGAGTTAAAAATATATAATAGCTATAATAAGAAAGAAAAATGATTATTGTAGAGTGTCCAAAAGGTGTTGGTATTAACACGTGTCGGATATGGACACGCTATCCTAGTTAGAGTGTCTGTGTTACAGAGTTTAATACCCAAGATCATTGTCACTGTCAATGACCTCATATTTCGTAACACGTATTGCACTTGGCTGGATCGGTATCAATTTCATATGGTACATAGGACACATCTCAAACTTGTTTTGCTGAATTCAATTGCAGGTATACTGGGGATGGAAGTTCCGAAGATGATAGCAGGGTAGACCAGATTTAGTTCAATGACTTGTACTTATCCAACAATATATCCTGCCACCTGTATGGTTTTGTATTTGTGTTTTTGTGTTCTTTCTTCTCTTTGATTTCACGACTCTCACCTTTCACCCCCATTTCAATTTTCTCTTTTGGCGTTCTAATAAATTTTATTCAGGATTCGTTCCCGTGGAGTGTGATAATTGAAACATTGAACATTATTATTGTGGTGATTAGTTGTAGTAATGTCAGGTTTATGTTTAACTCTCTTATACTGATGTGGCAATTTTGTTTGGATATTTGTAGCTTCAACCCACATTTACCTTTGTTATTTTCTTTAGGGAATCGGTGTGTATTTGGATCAATATAAATGCACAAACAGTCAAAGTTTGTATATTTCTTTTGTTGTTTGTGAAAGATCGATGTGTCTAGGTTGTCTGTGCACTTTTTTACCTTGTTCATCTGTTTAATTGCCTTCGATTTTTCAGTTTTTGATTTTGAAATTAACTTGCCTTACATTTGCTCAATAATATAAATAGTGTTCTTATGTTGATAATAAGAAATTTTAAATTTGCTAAACATGGTATGTAAATGCATGGTGTATTTTGTAAATAATAAATCTTTATTAATTTAACAATATATTTAGTATTTGTTTGATCGAGAAATGTCAGTCATCACCATTGATGTTAAGTATCAATTTCTGTGATAATTACATTGTATTAAATGATAAACTTATTTTAGAATAATGCTTTAGTAGTCTTAAAGTACCAATTGAGGTAGCCACTTTATAGGTTCAATTAAATGAGTTATTTGACTTTACATTTAAATGATTTATAATTTAATGTCATGCAATTGTTATCTAAATTGTGTTTAATAGCAATTGTGATAAATATCGTTATTCTTCATTTAAATGTAAAGTAATGTGATTTATATAATTGAACCTAGAATGTGTAGTTACCTATATTGACGATATAGCACCATTGGAATACGAAAGGACGGGATTTTAGGGATTTTGTGATTAATTTGACATGTTAAGATTGTGTTTGTTGGAACGTAATTTAAAAGCACGTTTGTTGGAGTAAAATTATCTAAGCAATGAATGACATGTATGATTTGGTTAGTTTTTTCCATTTCTATTTTATTATATAAAAATAGTATTTATAGTTAAAAAAAAAAAAAAAGTTGCATAGTATATTCTAAATATTTATTAAAAAATAGGTGCGTGACATAATTTCCTCTTGTATCTGCATTATTCCAAGAAAAAAGATTTTACAATTTACTATGTGACATTATTAAAACCAAAAATACTAGATATATGAAATATGTTTACATGTACATCCTTCTAAATAAAGGCATACACCACATTGTGTAATTGATCATTTTTGAATTCAACCTATATCACGTTATCCATTAATGCCATTTCTTAAATCGAATAAACAATTCAAAAATTGGTGATTGCCAAAAAGGCAAGAATAATAATTGTCAATCTGTTGAATAATCAACCATGTGACTTCATATTAACATCATAAGCTTCAACTTCATTGTGTGAGAGGATGAAATGAAAAACATTTTTTCAAAATGAATTTCAGACTGCGTACAAACACACATGCACTATTATGAAATAAATTGTATTTGTAGAAAATATCAAGGTACAATCAAGTTGAAGTAAGAACGCAAAATTCCATAAACAATTTCATGGTGTCTTCATTACGATTTTCACATAATAATAATAATAATAATAATAATAATAATAATAATAATAATAATAATAATAATAATAATAATAATTCTGAAACATATCCGCTCATACTAAATATTTATACACACAGAAAATCAAATATTTATATATTGTTAAAAGAAGCAGGATTTACATACTTTCATTAAATTTTATATATAAAATATATACAAATTGCAAAGACATGTTGACGAGTGCGTTTTAATCACGAGTGTGTGTAATTTTGAATTTGATTGTGAGCTAGATTTTGCAAGTATTGAATGTTTTTAATGTATTTATTAGTATTGTTTTATAGGATTGTTGAGATGGTAAAAAACACAAAAACATTAATCAAATAAAGCTATTGGCATGGATCAAAAAGAAATTGTGGACCAAAGGGCAAAAGTGGCAAAGCACAACATGGATTGGACGAGTGGTGCTTTGGCGTCGAAATAGTGGCGTCAAGGCACCGCGGAAAGAAAGGAGGCAGAGTTGTGGTGCTGCGGAGCCACTAGACTTTAGAGACACGGCTTCGCGACACCATGCTCATAGCTTTGCGGAGCCATAAAGGAAAGAAGTGAGGCAGTGCTGCGTTGCACACCGAGCATTGCGATACCGTCCCAGAGTAATTAGGGCGTAATTTTTGACCCGGTTTAAAATCCATGAAAACCTTACTTGTGAAAGACAACGTGAAGGCAGCTATAAATAATTTTTTTTTTTTTTCACATTTTAAGAGAGGATTGTACATATTGGGAGGCAAGAAACACACTTTGAGATTCAAAGAAGCAATTCGAGGAAGGAAAACAACAGCAATTCACCGTTTGAAGCATTGATTGGAAGAAGAAGAAGATTTTGCTGCAAGTTGATTTTGTCCTTCTACATTTATACTACAAATCCAGTGATGTATTCAATAACAATATCTTGTTTTTCCTCTTTCATCATGAGTAGCTAAAATTCTTGTTAGGACGAAAAATGTAATTTAATTGGGAGCCTTTATGTCTTTTAATTAAGATTATTGTCCTTTATTCGTTTATGTGTTGATTTCACTACGAGTTAAATGTATTGAATTACTTGATCACTAATTTGATTATTTTGTGAATCTTTTTTGAATCGAGAGGATAGTTTAAGATTTAGATTATATAGTAAAATTAAGTAAATTGGTATAACCTGTAGAGAAACCTATATTAACTACTGCGGTCATAAGTGAATTCCTAGAACCAAGATTTCGTTTAACTAAGATTGATTCGCGTAAAGATATTGAATTGAATTAATTAAATAGACTCAATGAGAACTTGAGAGATGTAAATTGAATATAATAGGAGAATTCAACCGAACATTACATTTGATATGAATTTTGATTTAAAATGTAAAGGGCATTTCAATTAAAATTCAAAACACAAAAATCTTTATTAGCTTCTGTCGAATAGTATTTAGAAAAAAAAGTAGATTAAGCTCTGAAGTATAGTCATCGTGGGAATGACAATCCAAACTCACAGGTCCACTTACTACTTGTTCGATATCGTACACTTGCGATAGTAAAAACGGAACACATGTGATAAAGTCTTAATCAATAGAAACGAGAATCAAATATGGTGGATATGTGTGATATGGGGTATTATTTTTTGCGGTGGATCTATTGAAGAATGAATTGGTGATTCGGTTTTCGAAATTTCTTGCCAGGTGATTCAAAGGAGATACGATGCGGTGGAGATTTTAGCTTGAAATATGAAAAGATAAGATTTTAGGGATTTTGTAATTAATTTGACAAGTTAAGAGCATGTATGTTGGAACGTAATTTAAAGGCACGTTTGTTGGACTAAAATTAGCTAAGTAATGAATGGCAAGTATGATTTGGTTAGTTTTTCACATTTCTATTTTATTATATAAAAAGTATTTATGGTTAAAAAAAGTTGTATACTATATTCTAAATATTTATTAAAAATAGGTGTGCGACATAATTTCCTCATTGGATTCAGAAAATTTCGTATCTGCATTATTCCAAAAAAGGATTTCATATTTTACTATGTTGTGTTGACGAAATATCTTTTGATTTAAAACCATTGCAAGTATACGGTTTGTTAACATGCAATAAAATGGATTTTGAGTTCAAGCATCGTACCCACAGAGATTGTACTAATTCAAATTTGAAATAATTTAGCTTTAACCGAAACAATTAAAATTTGTAATTTTTTCTATAAATTAAATAATCTATTTATGAATGCAAAACCTAACTTAACTAAAATAAATGCAAGTTTTTTTTAATAAAAATATGATGACGAAGAGCGTATTAGGATCCCGAATCCCCATGCATCAATCCCCTTTTTACCCGAAATTTATAAATTTACAACACGATTCAATGATGAAGATCAATGTTCGTAAATTTTTTAACGATTCCTCGACTAGAATTAAACATATTTTTACATGTGATCCGACTATATTTTTATTATGGATGCGTACATATAAAAATGCATTAAAAATTTATGAGTACTTAAAGATTACATAAAGTATAGCGGTATATTTCTATCTTCTATCGAACTATATGATAATTGACATTATGTTTAACTTATTTTCAATTTTTTGAAGGTCAAATAAGTCATAAAACTCATACAACTATTGCATATAATCGTAGAGAAAGTTAAAACCATGTCACTCATTCAAAAAAATGTTTTAAATACAAAAAAGAAACAAACTTCAAAATTTAAAGGTTCATAATAAAAATTTCATCACAATCCTAGCACTAAAATTATTTAGCCTAACATAATGTCAGAATTAAACAAATAAAAGTGGAAAGATATCACCAAAAATTGACGGAACATAATTAATTCCCTAATTTTGTGTTGCCATATTTATTTCCGTATGTGCATTTATTTTCCTAATTTGAAGGAATACCATCACATTATATCAAAATAATCGGACAATTTGTTGAAATAGAATCTAATATATCGGTCATCATTGAACTCGGTAATTTTGTATTTATCAGATATGTCATTATAATTCAATGAATAACATGCTTGTGGTCTGTTGCTACGTTCTAATCAATGACGATCAATTTATGATTCTAGAACCGAGTTGATTGACAGTAATTGAAAAATTGAAGTCAAGATTTTAATAAATAATCTATCAACTTATGTTATTGTATTATCTAATTCATGTAATAGTTCACATTCAAAAATTTTGGCATAAGAGTAAATGCACGTGTATGTGATCTCGTACCGCTATCTACGTTCATGAGGTAAAGTATGTGACTTGTATGTAAACAAAATGATTGTGTGAATTATATGAAAATTTCTGTGACTAACAGTGATTGTGTTGTGATTATAAACAAGAGTCAGTGACATAGTTTATTTCATTAAATAGCTTGAATTCAGAATATTTACCCTACATTAACAAAAAATTGAAATGGTATTTATAAGCCCATTATTTAGATGGATTCTATGTAATTGGATATTATTGTGTATTATAAGATGTATACTTACGTAGCTTGATTTTGATATATGTGATCATACAATGTAATGGAATGTTTTGTGGAGAAGGTCTGTGACCATTAATATTTATGTTTTTAATTTAGTGTGAACATGTGACATGCATCTAATCAATACGCGACCATGACTGAGAAACTGTGATATGTATTTGTTGTGACCTATTATTTAGGTTGATTTTGCATAAATGGGACACATTCACA